TATTAACACAAGGATCGATATGAAAATCTCCCATTAAAAGTGGCTAACCATTACAGTTTAATTGTTTCAGTATCGTTATTGGAACTTTAAAGCCATTTGTTGATACCATATTTGTCATTACACAACACATGATCGTCCTATCGGAGTAATGTGACTTACTATAAAACAGCTATAATGCTTATTTCATAAACATTTTTTAATCGAAAATAAGCATCAAGCTACATTGTAATTGTGCAACCAAAAAAGTGAAAACGCTAACACTCAAATCAATTTTAAATTTACTATAAAATCGAATATCTCTGTTTTGTCCCAGCACAGAATGGAATTACTAAAATCAATATCACTCATGAAAAAAATATAATATTATATTAAAATGTATACTATAAGGCTAACGCAAATATATCTGAAACAATGTAGTAAATATCCAGCCCCTTAAGCAATTTTATGTTCACCGTTGGACATAAGGATAAGGTTTTTACAAATTATCTGAGAGGCAGAAGAGGTTTTTTTTACCTAAATTGATGTAACTTTAGGTTCTTACGTCAATATTGTTTCGTTTGAGTTTCTTACTTCTTCCAAGTCTATTGAAAAAATTCAACTTGGACCCTTTTTCTCCTCAGTAACAGAAATATGATCAGAAAATCTGTACAAATTTAAAATTCGCAAGACGTCACAATTTCAAGTAAGATGATCTAATTCAGACAATTTACTAGACCATATATAAATATATTATATACATGAGGAATGTTGTAGAAAAAAGTGTGTCGATGAAATAATATTTAATATTGTTATTCGGATGTCTAATTTGTTTTAACTTATTGTGTAAATGTTATTTTGTTTAAATAATTATTTATAAAATATAGTAACGACCGATTTAATTTGTTTTTAATGATAATCGAAGACCATCTATATTGGCGCGTTTAGCGTTAATCATAACGATCTTAGCACTTTTGTTGTGTTGTAAAAAGAAATCCTGTACCTGGTACATGCTTGTGCCTATGTCTAATCACGAGACACAGCTGTGGTCGCTCACACGCCCTTTTTTTTTGTAATAAGTGAGGTGGATGTGTTTTGTGTTTTTGCTCATTTACGATTTAGATTTTGGGCCAGGTGAGGGGTGATAGTATCGAGGGAATGGAAATAAACTGTAGCTTCAAGAGCCCAACCACTCGGCAACAAACTAGGTACAAAAGAGATATAATGCGTGTAAATGGCTTTTAACAGCTATTCAGTAGTCCCCGTTGCCAATAATATTACTATAATAGGCACGAATCAAACTAAAAGTAAGTACTGTTCATTTGGAAAATGGCAATTGTTTTCGCCTGTTTAGTTCAACTAATTAACTATTTTAAGCCACGAAATCATTGTTGTTTTTTTTAGAGGGTAGTTGAGAACATAGTGTAATTTTCTAATAAGTCAATCAACTATACTCATTTGCTTTATATAATCCAGATGGACTCTGCTACACCATTAGCAGTTGCCGCCGGTAATTATTAATACTACCTTAGCTACTTACCTTACCACTTTAATGCAAAACACTAATTGCGTTGATTGTTATATGATATAATAATTTACTATCAAGTCCGCAGGATATATAAGTTATAAAAACAAACATTAAGTTTTGCTTGCCATCTTAATTCATACTTTCATTAAACGGGGTCGACGAAAACTACAATCTTAAATGTTTATATTCAACAAAAATGACTAACAAAAATAAATAGCCGTTTGAAAATCCGTCTAGTAAGTAAGTCATTGCGGAACTTCGTCATCGGTTATCTAAGTCGTTCATATGTACCGACGTGGATGAATGTCAACAAAAAAAAAATGGTACCTAACCTAACCTCGTGTTAGTTTCATAAAAGGAGTGGCATGAAGATGACGATTAAGTCATATTTCGGTAGACTTATTATTTACCATTGAAAACCATCAATGTTTGTGGGTCGAGGCGTTCCCATTGATGAAGAATTTTGTTTATGTGTTTTTTAAAAATGTTAACCTATATTCTCTATTTATTTAAATACAATTTTACAGTATTTTTTTAGTTTACATAATCGTTTGTTTAAGTAAAATTAAAACGAATACATGATATATATCTAATTGTGTTGGTGATATAAAATAGTACATAGGTACATAGTGCCTCCTGTCCACTAACAATTTAAGTGGGACCAGAGAAAGTATTTTGATCAGTTTATTTGGAGTCGTATGGAAGAGTCTCGGTCAGAAGACTGGCGTTTTATTGGTGGATTTTAAACGACATTGAAAGTACACATAAATTCATCAAAATCATTACTGAAGTAGCTGAAAAAGTTGTAGGAAAAAAATTATAGATCCGTAAAAATATACGTTTTATGGTTGAATGATAAATACAAATGGGGAAATTACATCAGAACACTTAATCATGAGGTCAGACTCTAAACAACCAAAAAGAGACAGCTGACTACTCTTTGGCAATTACATATTCTTCATTCGAATACACAGTAGAACAGTAGTGACTTCAACTAAACCGACACGTTTAGACAATTTTAAAAAAAGTAGAGCAAAGTTTATATGGAAATCATCACACAGACCAAATACCCCCAAAAAAACACCTAAACATTTCCTTTTATTACAATAGAACTAAGAAATGCTCTCTCACGAATAAAACAAGTAAAAGCCTAAGCCCGATGAAATACCATATGTCGTTTTTCGAAAAACACCCTAAAATGGGCTAGCACCAACGCAGATTAGTGTATCCTATGATTGTTCACCTTGCAAACCCATGGAAATCTACAATGGGAACAACGCGTCTAACGCTACAGTACATGTAAATTATAGTACCACACTCGCCTGTCGTATCTAAGATCGTCGTCGTAAGGATAGTCGGGCGGCAAGATCTGCCAGCAACTGGTGGTCGTAGTGGTCTCGTACTGTCCTTGACCGCCGGCGGTGTCCTGTCCGAAAACCTGCACTTGGTTCTGCTGTTCTTGTAGCATTTCGGCTCTGTGTTGTTGCAGTGGCGGCGGCGGAGGCGGCGGCAGTGACTGCTGCTGTTGTTGTTGTTGTTGCTGCTGCTGATGGACGTGATGGTGTTGATGGTGATGATGATCGACGACCGGTATGAACGTCGCATGTTCTTGCGGCATGACCATCGGGTCGCCGCCGGTCATGTGCTCGTGGTACATAATACTGTTTTACAATGTAATTTTTTATTATTACAATGTATTTCGATAGGTGTACGGATGGCGTGTCGGTAAGACGTATCGGCGCGGATCGGCATCTGACTGATCGACACCGATCGACGAGGATCGCGCGTACACACCGACCGGGGCCGTCGCGACGCAGAGATAAGACGCCGCTTATCCTCTCACGTGGTATACAGGTATACAGAAATATGTACAATTGTTAGCTGATATATTTTTCTGATATTGTGTACACAAACGCGTACAGTGTACATGAATTATATCTCTTCGATATAGGTTATTGCCAAGGAACGGTACCTGTTTTATAATATTGTACTACACAGAATTGTGTACAATATAGGTACAGTATATAAATACAGGTGTAAAAATATCACCATTTCATAAATGGTGAAATTGTATTAATATAAGACGTATTCCATATTCTAGAAAGAAAAAAAATGTTGATCGCTTTTAAATGATTAGCAATCAATGTGTCTAAACATTTAAAAATTTTGTTTTTCTTGGTTATTCCAAAAATTAACTGAAAAATATGGGAACAATGTTTCTCTATACCTGTGTAGGATATGGACAGCTATTTCAGTACTACTTTATGACGGAACACAGATATCAATTGTTAGAGCTGTCACAGGGGTATAATATAATACAAGAACAATTATTGGAGATGGCGTCGAGCACTTGACATTTGCCAACGACCCCGAAAAAAGATACCCATACGCTGTTATCTAAGTCAACTGAGAGCGCTTGAATATGGCTGGGGGCAGCTGTACTGTAGGTTGAAGTCGGATGTGCCAGAATACCGACTGGTGAAAATTTTAGGTATTCAGGATTGCAAATAGACAAAAAGCTTCATTACAAGAAGCAAGGAAAGTATGCAGTGGCAAAGGCCAACTAAGCTGTAAAGAACCTATCCATACTGTCTAATTTGTAGCCAAGCCGAGGAGAAGTAGTCTATTGGCCAGGGCGGTCCACCGACTTCTACTATATGACTCCACTATATAGGCTAACCTTGTATATTTCAATCATGAGTGGAAACCTGGCGAGATGTAGCCACAAAGGGCAGATGGACCCACAGGCTGGCTGGAGATGTGGGCAACAACTGACCTTGAACTTTCCGGCTGGCAACATTGTATCGATGATATTTTTTTTTCAGTATTTTTATCAGTCTTAGAAAATAGAAATTGTGACTCATGAAGATTAAAGTTAGAATTTAAACACAGATAATCTGCACTTGTCATTCGACTACCATAACCAATTCTTACTCTCAACAACTTCAAAACTCGCCTGAAATCGAATAGTTACGCCTATTTAATATTTAATAAACAACACCTCGACAATTTCTAATTAAATCTTCTCCAAAAATATACTATTCGTGCTATGTGTGTTTCACTATAATAAGAAAAAAGTGTGAATTTTTCGAAAAAGAAAAATGTTATTTTAATAGCATGAATACAATTCTTTAACACTCACAGTGATAACAATAGATGTTAACTTTCGTGTTATCTCACGATGGTTCGATGGGTAATGAGTTAAATGACCTAGGATGGTCATTAGTAACTAGTATAACTTTTTATCTTTACCATGACAATTTCGGTATGTTTTATTATTTGCAGGTTGAATAAAAAACAATACTAAAATGTTTGTTTAATTACAATTTAATAAATTTAAAGTTAAAAAAAAACTAACCAACAAATAAAAATCAAATTAGGAAAATTAAACACAATCATTAATAATAATCATTTAAATTTGAACATTTATGTGTAAAATTAATATTAATAATAATAGTAATAAATAATCAAACTATGAGAAATGTAAAATAAATTACGTATAACATAAATATAGTTCAAAACCAATGGTAGATATTAGGTATAAATTTAGCTAACAATAATAACAAAATATGATAAATTCTCAAATTAAGAATTCTGGGACACAGAATGGTCAGAGAAAATTGACTAGACTGACCTTACAAAACAAATTAAATTTAACTGAATCTACCACTGTTTATCTAGGAAACAGTCAATGTTTTATTATTATTTATTATTATTAATATAATTCTGAGATGAGATAAAATAAAACACTTTTAATGTACTTTGTTAATACAGAACAAGCAGTGGCTGGTGTGAGGAATTGACAGTACAAGATCAAACGAAAAACTCAGTCTTGTTACTCAGTTCATATTCAATCTCTTCGTTCTTATACATTTCCAAAAGCTAGAACGTACAAATCAAATATCTATTATATTAGTAAGAATAGAATTAATCCTAATAAAATTTTCAAATGCATTAACAAGCACATACATTGTTTATGTCTTTAATCAAGTCTTGTTTTTGCTTTTCATGTTTCACCATCAGCTTATCCTTTTCTTTGGCTTGTTTTATCTGCAACAAAACATTCATTAATCCCAATAATAAAAAAAGCGACCAAAACCATTGCAAATTAGGAGGATACTTATTAGGAACAAAATATAAATTTAAACAATTTTTTTTTTACTTTACCTGAGCTTGTTTTCTTTCGTCCATAAACTTTTTAGTATTGTTTTGTTTCTTTTCTCTCAATCTCCTGTCTTTATCCCCTTTTGTTTTTAAAGCCTTGTCGTTCATCACTTCCTTCATCACTTCAACAGATATTTTGGCCTGTCTCGTATTCATTTCTTTCAAGTCCCTATACAAGCGAAAATTGGCCATGTAAAAAACAATATCTAAACATACAATTAAAAATTTATATGTTTTTTACTTTTCATGTCTTGCTTCCAGTTGTTTCATTTGAGCGGCTTGCAGGTTTTCCATGAGCTTAATCAGAGCGTCCTGTTGTTCTGTGGCTTGTTGCTTTTGCAGAGCCCATTTTTCTCGCCTGTGACGTTCGACCATTTCAGACCACTGAGTCATTTGTTCAGTTACCAATTTCTTTACGCCTCCATCGTTGATGACGTCATTTTTACTGCAGCACAGTAGTATAATTGTTTAACAATGGGAAACAATAAATATGATCTAATACTTGATAACCTAACTCACTCTTTGCCTTTGACAGCTTTTTCCACAGAAGTACATTGTTGTTTTTGAATGGCTGCCTTTTCCTTAGTTTGTCTCTTGCGCAACGATTCCAATTCTTTCTCTTGCTTTCGCCTAGCTTTTTGGAAACCTTTATCGTTCCTCAAATACTCGAGGTTGATGTTTTCAAATTTAAGTTCTTCCTCTATAAATATACATTTTAGATGAAAATACATCCACGCTTAAAGCTTATGTGAGTACGCTTACCTTTCTTTGGTTCTTCAGACTTTTTATTTTTACTCCCCTTTTTTCCAGTCTTTTCATTTTCTCCACCGCCACCAGCAACTATATCTTTAGTGTTTATATCAGTTTCTTCAATACCCATTGCCTTCATCTGTTGGGCACGTTTTTCTTGTGCCGATAAAAATGCTCTTGGATCGGATAAAGCAGCCATAAAATCTGTACATATTAAATATCAAAAATACATTTAAAACTAGATAACAATCATATTGCTGAATTAACTGATACATTTAGTATTATTAATAACAGTCCTTACCTTCAAATCCATCAGGAACATAAATTTTCAATTCAATATTACAAAATAACATCGGTAATGCCATTGGAAAATTAGCTTCAGACCTTAACGATATATGTCTATAGCCGGCTTGTAGACCATCCAAAGGCAAAATTCTCTGCCCCAACAGTTTCCCGTTTTCCTCATACACGCCAATTCTAAGTACGGCCAAGTCAGGCAAAACTACCTGTATAGGTAAATATTCATATAAAAACGGATTTTTAAACTTACAAATAAACTAATAGACATACTTTTCGGAACAAAAACGGTTCTTCATTGTATACTGGATTTAAACCGTTGCTAGGTACCATTCTAGTACGAAACTCTTTGCGGATGGTATCTGTCGGAAGACCGTACATGTCGACTTCCACGTAAGTCCCGACTTTCTTATCTGATAAGAACTGACCAGCAATTACTTGAACTGAACACTGAGCCGCAATCACACCGTCTACAGGTGACTCGGCAAATGGATCGAAACTACGATCGGCTCTACGCATGAAATCTGGTTTTAAAAGATAACCACAATTTCCGTTATACTCAAATTTCCCTTGGTTGAGTTGCATGGGCAAATCAGCTGTTTGAAAATTCAATGACACCATTTGACATCCTGCATTCCAGAAAACCTATAACGCACATACCAGCCAAAAATAACTTATAGTTAATTTGTGAAATTATAGATTTGACATTTTTGGTAATAGGTATAATTGATTGACAATAAATACATTACCTGTGGCATGTAGTTTGAAGAATCGGCTCTAGTCCCTTTTGGATAAATACGACTCATTTGTCGTTTGTTATAGTTAACAAATTCTATAGCTTGTGACTTTAAATATCCAAGCCCTGTGTTCTCGGCAAATGAACTCATATTGTGATGTATATTCTTTTCTAAAAAAAAAATATATGTATATCATCGGCATGAAGTATTAATTTTTGAGTTTTTTTAACATGGATATGTTTTATGGCTGAGGTATTCCCAAATTTGTGTAGACAATTTTATGCACATCTCGCGTCATAAACTTCAACTTTTATTTTTTTTATTAACTTGTGTAATCTGCTTTTAGAATTTTACTTGTTTTCTTTACTTCAATAAATAGAAATAAAAACCAAAAGTTATGTATTATATTTTAGATAAGTACTTTATAGTAAGTGTAGTTAAGGGTGGTAACAATTTTGAAAATTTTATATTTCTTACAAAATATAAAACTATCTATCTTACTGAAATTTATATATTAATTGTATTTCATAAAAAAAACAAAATTGTGTTGGTTATGCACTGAGGTAATGCTAAAACATATCCAAAATGCAATGGTTTTCTGTGGAGAGGAGAAAATAGCTAGGTTTTTTAATTATATTAATTTACTTTCAGCTATGTCAAAGCCCTGGAATTTAATTGGTTGAGCATAGTTGACCATAGAGGACAACCATGGATGTACATTCGTGGTAGATCCAGTATATTGTATTGGCGGCGGTGCTTCCGCTCCCTCTAAACCGGTACCCGTGTCGGGTGCTTCTGCCTATGATTTTAAAAATTAAATTAAACAAATTAACGACAAGAATAGAAGATGTGACTATGTTTACTTTTTTTTCTTCGGGAGGATTTGCGGTTACTGCTGTAGCATCTTCTTTTTCTTCGTCTTCAATGACAAACTGTCCTTTTCTAAACAATTCCAACTCGCTCTTTTCTACTTCTGGTTTCAGTCGTTTGTTTTTTATTAAAATTTTTTTTTTAAGTAACGATGGAGGTGGTAATTGGATACCAGCATCACACTAAAACAAAACATCGGATTAATGAATACTGATCAAGCTTGTTCGTAACAACAATGTGAGCTAACCGGATATTCTGGCAGACATTCTTTCATTAAGAGATCTCCAAGAATTTCATCACAGTATTTGGCAAGCTTGTATTGCTGACTTTTACAACAGTGATTTTCAAATGATAAAATAATTGGATAATCCGACGTGACGAAAGCTGTATCTCTAATAGCATAAATTACATCCTGAAAACATTACAAGTACATATTATATATTTTTTTTCATATTTTTTTTATAAACAGTTTAATTATATTTGTTTATGGTTGACTATGAAAAAACTGTTTAATCAAGCTCTATTTCGATTAAGAACAGAACCAGAAGTAATAGTTAAGCTAATATTCCAAAAAAAAAAAACACTTGTGGTTAAACACAAGGTTCGGCAGTGAAACCGTTTAATTTCAATGTGCAAGTCTACACAAATCATCTGGTTTGACTGTCAGACCCTATAGTTGAAAAATAAAATGATAAAAAACACTTTTGTTTTTTAATATTTTATTATTATTACTAAGCTAATATTCTTTTCTTTAGCATTTTTTATAACTTTACATTTCCCCTTCTATTATTCAGTTTAAAATAGGCATATGTTATAAAAGCCTATTTTGTTTATTTATTAAAAAATATATGTGTTTCTTTTCGTTGAGTAAAATTATTTTTAATAACAATAATTTTAAATACATAATATTACAAAAATAGATTACTTTAAATAAAATATCGGTACACATGGCTTTCCCATGAGTAATGATTGGTTCTTCATCTTCACCTTTACCGTCCCAACAATCAAGTTCTACGCATCTGAAATATTTTACGAAATTATTACACGACTATATATATATATATAATATTATAGTGTAGATGTTAAGTAAGTACACACCTGCAACCAGCCAAAAGTGTTTGTCGATACATTTCAACACTAGACTTTCCCCCAAACTGACGACCTGACAAGTAAGTATTATGAGAAGAATTGATATAATAGTGAGCTAATGATTGATCCATATCCATGTAAATATCCAAGCGATCCAAAAAAACTGGTGCGTTTTCATCAGACATTAAGTATCGTATTAGACCTTCTTTTGACAGTTGTTCTGTAAACAAATAATAATATTTCTTAATAAACTCTTGTGTAAAATTGTATGAAACACAAAAAATTAAATTACAAGCAATTAATATATATCTCATAACTCAAAAGTTCTAAGAAAATATAAAGTCAATTAGTACAATAAATAACAAATTAAAAAAAAAAAATATTTCACACAAAATAAGTCATTGACAGAATACCAAGTTGTTTTATTTTTATAAAAATACATATGGTCTTACTCCCATCCAGTTTTGAAAATAAACAACTCTTAAGGAAGCAATATATTTAATTGTCTTGAAGAAACAATTTTATACAAATAACAAATTTGGTACTTAAATTAAATTCATTAATGAGATGATTTATTTTTAATTTTCACTCATAATTTACACTAGATTTAATTTTAAAAAATGTCTTACTTTGGGTTTTCACATCTTCAGTTGGTTCATAATCATTAATTATTTCAAGTGCTCTTTTTTCATCATATAATGGATACAAAATTTCATTTAGACGTGGATCTCGTTGTTTTTCATTCAAAAACGTAATGAACTGATCTATACTGATATTATCAGCTTTTCCTTGTGTGCTAAAAATGTACAACATAAACATCTAAAAATTGAATATAATGTGAAGACATTTTCTTTACTATATACTACAAATACAAATTATTAAACAATATAATACATAAATTATTTCAATTTTAAATGATTGTGAAAATATATTAGTTTTTATAGTAAACAAATAACATTGTGTTTCATAAAGATAATGAAACATAGTATGTTTATTTAACAGCAGTCAATAGTGTCTTTCAAAAAAAAAAAAAAAACCTAGGTTTTATTAATTAAATATAACATCATAATTTGCATTAATATTTTAAATATAATATTATTTGATTTAAACAAGTTTTTTGATACCTTTTTATAAAATTTGTATTTTTTTTAAAAATAATATTTGTAGTAAGAAATTATAATAATACATAAAAGAAAATATATATTGAATAGTGTTATTTAACTACTTGCATAGATTGCTAGTGTTATAATAAAAAAAAACACTTACATTGTTTGAAACAATTCTTCAATATCATTTCTAGGACAAATTTTGTGATAAAGTTCATAGAACTTGTCAAATGTGAACTCCAATGGTTCAATCGTATCATTCTAAAATGTTTTTTTTTTATTGTTAAAAGATTATTTAAAAAAAAAAAGTTCAAATTTTATACTTTTCCACTAGGCAAATTGAGATCAGCTAAACATTGATACACCATTTTTTCAGTTTTACCAGATGCAAATGTTCTGGCAATAACTTTTACAGGTACTTTTCCTTTTGGATCTACTAACATGCCTAAACGCATCCAACTAAAACATAGTTTTAAGTTAACAAATTGATTATTTAATAAGAAAATAATATTTTAACTCACTGTTTCATAAGGTTGGTCCGAACACACACATTATTCATCTTATTGTTATGGGTTATAGTGCGTAGACCTTCTTGCCATTGCTAAAAAAACAATTTTTTCAATTAATCTAACATAAATATTTAGGTACGCAATATTCTTAATTGTGTATACATCACTTAAATTAAGAAATTCCATTCCCTTACGACAGATATAATAACTTGTCACCTATGGTTATAATATCTTAACCTAGACAAGCTATTACAATTTCTACCACTTAACATTACACATCTTTATATTAAAAATATAATCTTTTTTGCATATAATTTATTAAACTTAATGTAAGATTGATAGCTTATAGCTTTTTTACTGTAAATTGATACAATTTATTTTATTATTCAAATTTGTTTTAATGCCATGCCATCTCATTTTAGTATAGTTATTTTAGCAGCTTTCTTGATTATAAAAAATATTAAATAGAAATAATTAACTATTAATAATTATTAAAATCATTTAACATGAACAAATTGACTATAATATTTCCTTGCCTGAATGGTTTAATTTTGTTTTGTTACTATCTACAAATTTATTATAAAAATATTATTAAAAAGCACTAAAATAACATTTTGTTTACCTTGGCTGTAGCAGCATCTGGGCAGATAACATGTTGATAATTTATATTGATATAGTCTGTATTGCTACATATTGTTAGAGATTTCTCTTCTAGAGTATCACCATGCTTATTAGTTAATTGCTGAAGTTGTTTTGCATCCTAGAAACAACAATAAGTATAATGGGATAATTGGTACAGTTATATTTGAATGATTTTAGTTTAATTATTTACCTTAGGCAGACCTCCAGAACGTATATCACTGACTTGACACAGCTCAATCACATCTCCATCCTACGAAATAAATTTTAATATAATTTTACTCTAAAATATTTGGTGATGGTTTAATTAATATAAAACATAATTAAAGGTCCGATTTGGTCCAAATAACGTGCAGTTTTTTTTGGGGGGTTATATTTCGGCAAATATTGTACTATGAACTAATGTAAATAATTTTTAATAATCATGATACTTCCAGAATTTTCTTATCACGTATAATTACTGTGCTATAAGCGCCTAAACCAATCAAACCGACAGAAAAAATTGTTGTACTTCTCTAATACAATAAAATTTACGGATTGGTTCTTAACACGTAATTCAGACCAAACCTTCAATTATTATTATTTTTATCAGAAATCAATGAATGACTTCGAAACATTTTGCTTTTGTTTAGTATTATTTGTTTTATTACATGAGTGTTATTAACTTAAATTATATAAAAAAACTTACTCTACTTTCGCTTTTCCAGTAAATAAAAAACCCATATTCATCAACTTTAAAAGTACACCCCCATTCAATCTCCACATTGTCTTTTTCCTCAGTCCATCGATCAAATATGCAGCCTTGTAGTAGAGACTCAGGAACTGGAATTTGCCAATTAAACTCGGACTTCTTTGTCATTATGACCAATAGGTCGGTATATTTACGTTATGTTCATGAACGACTGAAAAAACCAGATAAACAGTTATTAATTAGTGCCTAGATCTCGAGGAAAATCAAATTAAGGAGAGTTCAAATTTCAAATAACAAATTATAAATAACTTTTTAACTTTCAAACGAGTTTTGATTGTAACAAGTTAGGTATAAGATTGGACATAATTTATTATATTTTAGCTTGAGTTAGATACTTCATAACAGACAGCTATACTAAAGTAAAACATGTTATGATCTACAGTTCTTTGAGTTTTATTTATTAAATTAGATAAATACTGGCGACAAGAAGAAACCAAACACTTAACGAAATTTCAAATTAAAAATTACAATCAACAACGTTAATAATACTTTAAACGGTTTTTTAGTACTCACGTCTATTAATGACTACAATTAAGTATATTTCTGGACTAACGACCGTCAATGGTTAGTCAGAGTATATTATTAGTAATTTTGGTTGTTGGATTAGCTATCTCGAAAGCAGTCGGTCAGTAAGCAGTCCAGAGCGCCTGAAGCCCAATTGCCGGAGTCGAAAAAGTCATTTACTAGTCTTCAGAGTGGAATGATTTAAGGGAAAAAACTTAAGTCATAAACGCCGTGTGTATATCGAAAACGAGTTATAAAAACTTTTAACAACAAACAACCATATCACAAGCGGCGGTGGCGTCGACGGCAATGGAGCAAATAAAATACAATTTTGGCGATCCCACAAACGTTGGTACAGCTGGACGTAAAACGGTTAACTGCTGGCAATTAGATATTACAGTAAAAACAAATTAAATCCGAGAATAACGAAAAACTAACGATGGTCGATGATGAACCGCCGCCGTCTGTTACTGTGTTATCGATCTTATCAGTCCGCGGCAAGAGTAATAATAATAATTATCGGTTGTTGTTATCCGGCGGCTGCGTGGGGCAAATCTCTGAGAACCCCTGAAATGTCACGTCGGCCGTGTACCGCCTGTGGACTGCGGTGGTGGTGGTAGCTGGTAGCATAGACAAGCATAATATACTAATGGCTGGTAGGCCGTTAGTGTTGGTAATTGGTTGTGTACTATAAAGTATTTAAATTATTGTCTAGTATCGACATTTCAAAAACACCGTGTCAGCTGATTACCTCACACCATCAGTTCAGCATAGGCGCAACTAGACCTACATTTTAGAGGGTGCTAGAACTATATACCTGACTAATCATAATTCTTACCTTCAATTTTCAAACTATTAGATAGATATAATATAAAACATTTGAAAACAATGTAATATTCTAAAATAACAAATTTCAACAGAGTATAAACATTAATAAAATTGTATGCGTACAAATCAAGGATTGGGGCTTGAATTTTTGGGAGTGCTAAAGTTCCCTTAGCACCCCCCTAGTTGCGCATAGCTCGGCGTTGGTAAAAGAAAAAAAATTATTGGGAATTATTCCGAACTTGACCCTATTTTTTTGCATATACATATATATATATATGCCCTGGAATTAAAGTTGTAAAACTCAAAAGAGAACCGAGCATATATTATTACTAATATAATATATTATAATTATATAATTATACCAGGTCTAATCTGTAGATACTTTGCAACTGCTAATTAGCAATGTGTGAAAATTGAAATAATAACAGCTATTTAAAAAAAAAAAAATCAGTTCTAAGAAAAGTTTTTGTTTATATTGTTATGAACTGGCCATAATGACTAATCGCTTAATACTAATGAATATAATCGAATGCGGAAGTGTGAAGTACCGACCGACAAGACCATCAACAAACCCATACCTAGACACCTAATATTTTTTCCCAAACCGAAACTTTAAGAGTTCTGTTTTTGTCGCAAAACATGGTAGGTAATATTCCCAAGAGGGTCATTTTTCAAAAAAAACCTCAGAGATATTCAGTCAAGGCACTGTTAATGATGAACGTTAATGCACCTCAATCGCCTTTAATCCTATTTATAAAAGTGCACAACCTTAAATCGCAGGGTATGTATCTTATTAAAATGGACCCCTACATAATATTCGGGTCCTGTACACATGATTGGGCTGTTGCTTTAACAACATTTCAATAGAGGTAAATACAATTTGTCTCAGCATAAGACGGTGGAACACTGAGATATGATGAAGTGTAAGATTCGTTATAATTTGAGTTTTCCCGCCAATCCCCTAATTATAATTTAAGAAATAAACAGTTTCGTATCAAAAAATTAAAGACACCCCGCGATGAAATGTTGATATTTGATGAGGAACTAATGGCAAAGGTTACGAATTTAAACAAAAACGGATCCTTCATAAATTAATTTGGTCTTGTTTTATTTTTTGGGCTTCTTTAAAAACAATTTCTTGGGTCTTTCAGAAGCCTTACTTTACTTGGCGCGCATGCCTATGATGTGATTAATGATTATTTTTCTTAAGATATCACGACCACAGCTGGATAAACCGCTATAATGCAAAAATTAAGGTCATATGCGTTATAACTATGTACCATCTTCAGATCCTAGTTGAACATTAATATCTTAATACAACTTTATGTATTTATAAATTACAATTTATTACAGTTTTATTACAATTTCTATTTATAATTTGAATAATCAAATATGAGATTATAATATTATTAAGACTTATTGATACTTGTGTCAATTGATATGTGATTTTGACCATCACCGATTTAGACTATATTATAGTTAAAAAATAAACGAGAAAATTATAAGTACTTATTTACATTTACACCATTTTATGAAATCCTATTCATTTACATAACAATCCTACATGCCTATCTTTTAAATTCTTAAAATACGATTGGCTATTATTTAAACGATTCATTTGGAAATAGAAAGTATCGGCTAGGTAAGTACAATTAGTACGTCCAACTTAAAAAACAACTTAAAAATTAAATTTGTTATTATTCAACACTTAACGCGAGCTTAGAACTGAATACACGAAAGGCCAGAACAAAAATAGTTAAACTCAGTATCAATAGCAAACAACTGCAATTGTCAACTTAGTCTCTTATGGTTTAACTAATTTATGGGAGGGTTCATTCATTTGCATAAACGTGTTTGGAGAAAAATAATTGAACCTTCTGAGCTCTGACTAAACTAAATATCTTGTTTACATGTTTGTATGCCCATTGAATGTAATTAGTAATTACAATAGTAAACATTTTTTTTTAATAGATACCCATGTACTTAGTAAAGTTAATCTTTTTATAGTATTTACTAAAAAAAAAACATATTCTGTTCTACACGTGTTTGATACCACTTTACACTGTTGTGTGTTGGGAAGTATAATATTATAAGTAATTCTTGTCAGTGTATTCTTGTACTTGGTAGGTGCAAGAGAAAAACATCTATTCAGTTTTGATATTTTTAAATTCTATTAGAAAAACTTAACCTATTAATACATGAAATCCTGGGACAAAATATTGTATAATTATTATGTTAGCAACCGATAACCGTTATTAAGCAACTTGGAAATAATAAAGTAAGTTCTTCAAAAGCCTTTTTTTGAGAAATTTAGAAATAAATGTCATCCTTTACTTAGCCACTTAGCCAAACCATCTCCCCTGATTTAATTTTGTTACATACAACTTTTTTTAATATTAGCTATTTATTAATTAACACAAGTTTTATTGTATGTCTTTACTACATAATTGCAAAATAAAAATATGCCTAACCCAAAAAAATTAGTAATTTGACAATGTAAATAATTTATTGAAAAAAGATATGGGTGTGTTTGTATTGTAAAAATAAAATGTAAATTTTCTGCCACGCGGATATTCTTATAAAAGCTCTACTTGTAAAATAGCAATGTTATAAGTAGGTACCTACTTTATAGCAAATAATTGCCCATGCAGACGAACTCGACATACAAACAAGGTTCTATGAGATAAAGTATAATACGATTTTAATTTATTAGTTTTTGGATTAGACTCTGATCCCTTACATAAACAAACATTTTTTTACACAGTCACCTCTTAAAAGGACCTGCGTAGATTACTGATTTACTAAAAGCTCTTAGTAGATATTCAATAAGTATTGTTTAGAACGATGACAAAAATATATTCTTAACATTTAGTTTAAACCAACAGAACAGATTTCCAAATAAAATATATCTCTTCAATTGTTATAAAGTATAAAATACTTGTGCGGGCTGTAACATGTAAAGTTTCTTAAACGCAAGGATGACGTCCCAAAGGATTTTGTTATTATATAAAGAATTTTATAATTGATGTACATTATGTAACACTGACTAAAGTATAGATGTTCAGTTTCAATACGGGTAAAAGCAATTCGTACACCGTTGTGCTTTACGTTGACCTTGGTATACGCTTCTACTTACATTTCATAACAATATAACGTGAACGTTTTTCTTATTTTTATAATAATATTTTCGAAGGAACCGAAAAACCTTTTAAGGTGATTATTTCACATTACGTCTGAAACACTCAATGTCAAATAAATGAAACGCAGTATGTAGTATAAAATATGTACGCTCCCAGTATATTGTAAATGTGAGCTCGGTAAATTAACCATGCGATTTTTTATCAGATTATTATTTTTTACCAGCAAAATTAATTATTGAACGTTTACAATACATCAAACACAACACTCTACTTACAGAAAACTAAACCCCATTAATTATATCTACAGTTCTCTAGTACGTAGATTAGTCTTGTAACAGTGCATTATAAATTATAAATTAATACATTTTCTTGTACATTTTAAAAACCAATTTAAAAGTATGACTGTAATTTTACGCAAAAATACATATCATCATAAACAATTTATTATTAAAGTTACAGAATATTCAGGTTAATGATAATCATCTAAGTATTATACCCTTATTTATGCAACATAGTATACTAATAATAAGTATGAACTATTATAATATTTTATTCTTTCCAACCGGCATAGAGAAATAATTATTGAAGTATAGATTTTTTAGCTTCAGTGCGTTTCTAGTACCCTATTCACGACACCAATATTAATAACAAAATAATTTTGTTGGCCATTACATAAGTTATTTCAAATGAAATAGGAACAAAATTAAACAACGTATTATACCGTTTTCTAACCCATTAGTTTTATTAAAACTCGCAATCCTAATGTACTGAATACGGTTTCCCTGCAGAATTTAGTTTTAAGCTAAGCTAATTATGTGACGTACAGGTGACCCCAGAGTGTGCTGTTTAATTTTTAAAAGGCTTCAACAAAAGGCAAAATCGGATTACATCATGTAAAAAATATTCTAAAGATTTGAAAGTATTGGAAAACGTTGTTTTATTATGTTAAAACTATAAACGCTTTGTCAATGGGTAGTTGGTCTATACTCTACTATAAGTGTGCTAATTAATAGTTGACTTTTAAACAAGAATGACTAAATTTATTTAGAAATCTATAGAATTTATTTTAATATATTTAAAAGTGACAACTTATATGAGTATTAGATACCCTTAAAACGTTTATTTAGTAATCGAGTAATTTAGAGTAGACATATTATGGGATTTACTTCATTTTACAACTGAAGTAGTGATAATATCCTTGGATTATTGATATATTTTTAATACTTAGTATACATAGTATAGTATAATATTTTCCAAAACCAGCATGCAGCATTCAGCAGCCGGCAAACCAGCATGACCATGAGAAATAAACAAATTAAAATTAGTGCCGCAACTACTATTCGCAGTATAGGGGCCTCATATTCATTTACATAACATTGCGAGATATAAAAGTACAACTCTACTTTTTATCAAATTTTTGCAAAAAAAAAAATTACTAGTAATAATCACATTTACTTTTTTATTTTGAAAACCACATCGTTTCAAGTTCAGAAATTCGGGAAATATATAATTTTAAG